GACTTGCCACGGTCTCCAACCCTCCTCCTTTCTCATCCGGGCTTGGGACCGGCCATGGCGGAGTTACCACGAATCTCATAAGGTTTTAATATAAAACGACATTAAAATCTTTATTAGATTGTTTATATTTTGTACGGAAAAAGTACGTGCGTTTATTGGTGTAAGAACGCTCATTCTGTCCGTTTGAAAAAGTAAGCTTTTGATGCAAATGCGAATTGTTACAGATTAGAGACATGATTAGCAAATCTCCTTTTGATTTACCGGCCAAATGTTTGATCTGGCTAACTGTTTGTATGAAAACACGGAGACAAATTTCCTTTACTTTTCTGCTGCTAACTCCTGCCATTGGCAAGCTGAATAAATTTTGAGGTGCAGTCTGTGAAAGGTTGAAATCTCTGCCTTGGCAGATTTTGTTAAAAATGTGCCGGTCCGCATACACAATGGGATATTAATTGATTCGTGCATGTATGACAAGCTCTTTTTATCATTACTACCAGTTCCTGTTATACGATATTTGATTTTTTAGTGTTTAGCTGTGGATATCTTTTCATATTTTGTTGTGCGGCGCGATTTTTCTGGTAAGTCGCTTTTCGTATCGATGCGTGTTTCATTGGTTCCAATTCAAGATTTATCCTACGATGCCTACTACGTCGGTGAAGCACAGAGATTTCGTTGGAGAGCCTATGGCCGAAAAGGAGGTGACTTCTTTGGCTGGGATTGGAGAAGTCTACGGAAAGAAGCTGGCTGACCAAGGTTTTGATAAGGCAAGTCTGGAGAGAACTTTTGGATGCGAGGAATTTTATCACTACTGTTCTGAAATGGCGGTCGTACGGCTTTTGCTGTAATTTAAAATATAACTTAAGGCTGTCTGCAACCGCAAATAACAGAATGAGCTACCGTTTACTTTCTTCTTTGTTTCAGACGTTTGTAAATATATAACCAAGCCAGTGTTAACTGTATTTTTTATAAATCAGCGATTGTTTCAGGGAACTGTCTTTTGTAATACAGTATGCAAGACTTTTAAAATCTTGATTGTCCTCTGTTACACTCTATATGAAAAACGCGGAACGTTTTTGAAGTTTAGCTAGTAAACATTTATTAAATTGGGTGTATTAATACCGTATACCAGTTGAACACGTTATCCTTTATATGACTTTTCCTCGTTATGCTTCTGCAATATTCAGTATTCTGGATTGTTTATTTCCTGGCTCCACAACCAGTGGTCAAGCAATATGGTCATCGAATCGTCTCACAATGTTCTTATACTATCGGTTACGTATTTATGATGCAGCGGAACCAGCTTCTAATTTTTATCCTTGTCACTGAGCGAGCGACATGGCCGGCACATCGTCATTTGACGTCGTAAAAGGCAAAAACCACTTTTGTTAATGCGATCCTTTGTCGAATTTGTGAAAGAGTTCAGAACGTGATCCTCGAGAGAGAGCGTTTTCTTGTTCTTTTTTCCACGCTTTGAGGACCATCTGTTTTTTTCTTCCCTATTTTAGTACCAGGCCAGCATTCAGCATCGTAGATCATTTCGTAGTACGTTGAATCGAACAGTTCTTTCCTCATTCGCATGATCAGTTCATTTTCCAGTGATGACATTGTAATACGATAGACAGATTATGCTGGGATTTTCTTCTACTAAACGGTGAAGTATATGCTACATAAATGTCGAACTGAGATGTATACACATTAACCTACTTCACTTACAGATTCATTATGGATCGCGGAAGACAGGAACCGGATTGACGGAAGACATAACAAGGCCATCTTTTGCTTGTTCCCTTGTTCCTCTGTTACTCTGTTTTCGTAGATTTATATAGCAATATATGAGGAGTGAAATCTAGACTAGTTTTACCCAGTAAACTTAAGTCACCTGAACTGAATGAAGGAACACTTGAGTTTATATTCGTGCATATCATTGATCTACTTTGGAACACCGTTGGATAGATAGCATTTTTTTAGAAAGGCTGATGTTTCTAAGAATGGGGATCGTTTACGTCTCTTAGTGAAATAAATCAACCATATCTTCAGAACGACATTTTCTGTACGCACCAATTTTCTTTCGCCAAGCTCTCCACTTTTTCAAGACAAATGGCTTAAGAAGTAACACTGTATCACGTATTGGAGATTTTAATTCCTTCATATGTAGGTAAAAAATACATGCAACGATTTCCTAACTCTTCTAGGTAACTATAAAATGATGAGCCATCTGCGAGATTTTAATGAGACAAAGCAGTGTCTGTAATCATTAATGATTAATGATTAATCATTAATGATCTTGAGATCTCTTTCGTATTGTAGCTGACGATTGTTCGGATTGCGCCGTATTCACGTTCCCGCCGCATTTATATCATATACCGTGCGATGAGCACGAGTTAAATTACTAACCAGACATATCATCGAGAATATTTTTAAAAATGGTGATCGTTAAGAATGATGCGAATATTTGCGACGACGACCTCTGTGATGATTATTATAACAGTGATTGGCATTTTGATAGCAGTGATTATAATGATAGCGTTCATTATGATTGTGATAACGGCGATGATGATAACACGGAGATGTTTTTCATTAAGGTTTATATCAAGGCTTTTTATGTGTGATTCTTTAACATAAAATGGAGAAAATGTTTCAGTAGGCACATCAGTATACAAAAATTTAATCATGAGCGTTTCGAACGCTATTTCACTGTTTTTCATCTCCGTAACGTGCATGTGGCAACCAACACCAATGCGCAAACCGTCTCTGAAAGGTGCACATGCTCTCACGTGTATATTAGTCTCCCTAAAGAAACTTTTCATGTTGAATGGCATTAAACACTGTTTCAAATAATTTATTTATATATTAGTCTATGATGCCCACATGAAACGGTTTTTTACTCATGATACTGAAGACGCGTAGGCTGTTGGGGGACTCAGGTTTTGTTGACGCAAACTGCGTAAAGTCGGTGATCAGAACTGCTCATCGCCCTCTGCCAGCGGGAGGCGCAGCAGCACAACAATGGCTGACGAAGATACGAGTCAGCAACGGAGTCGCTGCCCGTTCAGAACGAAGGAGGCAGATAGAACAATGCCATTACAGCACCTCAGAAAATGATCCACGAGAACAACACAGGCAGTGGGAGCTTACAGTCGGAAACTGGAATATATCCTCATTCAGAGGGAAAGAGCAAGAATTAGGTGATTAGGCCATAAAGTACCAACTTAACATTGCTGGACTCTCGTCAACTAAGCGCCAAAGCTCTGGACTCCTGAATCTCGTGGAAGCTATTCCACTCAGGCGTCGATATCACGACTCGCGCTCAGGCCGGTGTTGATGTTCTGGTAGAACCCAACCTTGCGGAT